TCTTTTTCATTTTGAACTTTCTTTAGAAAATTTTTGAAAACATGAAATGCTTCACTTTTATGAGTAAGAAACAAGGTCCATGTAAACCTAGAGTAGTCATCGACAATCACAAACGCAAAGTAGTTGCCACCAAAACTTTTCGTTCTAGAAGGACCAAAGAGATCCATGTGCAAAAGTTGAAGCGGTCTAGACGTTGAAACAACGTTCTTAGACTTAAACGAAGCCCGAACTTGCTTCCCTTTTTGACACGCATCACATATGGTGTCTTTTTCAAACTTAAGTTTTGGAATGCCAATTACTAAGTCTTGTGAAACCAATTTGTTCAAAAGGTTCATGTTCATATGAGCTACCCTTCGGTGCCATAACCAAGTGTCTTCCTCTTTACTCATGAGACACTTAGCAAAGCCAGAGGGAGATTTGTCTAAGTTAACCATATAAATATTGTCGATTCTATCACCACGTAGAATGACCTTATTGTCACTAAGACGTTCTACCGTGCATGATTTTGAATCGAAGGTCACACGGTTTCCCTTGTCACATAATTGACTTATGCTCAAGAGATTGTGTTTAAGACCTTTAACAAGCAAGACATTATCTATAGAGGAATTTTCAGATTTACCTACTGAACCAACGCCAATGATCTTTCCCTTGCTGTTATCTCCAAAAACTACGTTTCCTCCTTTAGCGGGTTTGATTTGGAGAAACTTGGATGCATCCCCGGTCATGTGCTTGGAGCATCCGCTGTCAAGGTACCAAAGTACACTTGATGCCTTCAAGCACACCTATGAAACACATCAATGAGTTTTAGGTACCCAATTTACGTTGGGTCCTCGGGTGTTAGGTGTGTGATGGTAGTGTGCTTGATTTTGTGATAGGTGCCTATGCCTAGTAAAGCAAACGGGAGCTATATGTCCTACCCTATTACAATAATGGCAAACTACATTTGGGTTGTACATGTGCCTAGGTTCATAATAGTTAGAAGGTTTAACCATTTTGTTCCTATTTTGTGAAAACGATGGTTTTTGGAAATTTTGAAACTGGCCCCTTCTAGTGCTCTAGCATTATTTCTTCTTATTTGAGAAAATTCATTTTTATGCACAAAATCATTTTTCTTAGGTTGTCTACCATGACCACTTTCATTCCTAGGTTTTAGTCTAGGTTGTCTAGTGTTCTTAGGTTGACTAGGTTTTCTATTATCTTGGTTTTTATCTTTCTTGCGTTGAGCCTTAGTAGGTTGTCTAGGTGTATGCTCAACGTTTTTATCCTTAGATTCATTTTTATCAAAACCNAACTCAATTTCGACATCACCTTTGAGAACATGATCTCTAATGAAATGATGCCTAATGTCAATGTGTTTCGTCCTTGAGTGAAGAACGGGGTTCTTCGTCAAGCTTATGGCGCTAGTATTATCACAACGAAGAGGGACGTGATTGATACTAAGGCCATAGTCCACGAGTTGTTGCTTCATCCAAAGGATTTGAGCACAACAACTACCGGCGGCTACATATTCCGCTTCGATTGTGGATAACGCAACACTGACTTGTTTCTTACTAAACCATGAGACTAGAGAGCTACCAAGTAAGTGGCAAGTCCCACTCGTACTTTTACGGTCTAATTTGCAACCGGCAAAGTCCGAGTCGGAATAACTGACGAGATGACAAGAAGAGCCTTTTGGATACCACAGTCCAACGTTAACCGTGCCGACAAGGTATTTCATGATCCGTTTCACCGTGGTTAAGTGCGATTCCTTCGGACATGATTGGTACCTCGCGCAAAGGCATACGCTAAACATGATATCCGGCCTACTAGCGGTAAGATAGAGAAGGGATCCGATCATACCTCGATACTTTTTGACCTCTACTTCCTTACCTTTCTCGTCTTTGTCAAGATGGTCAGACGTGCTCATTGGGGTCGCCATGGCTTTGGCATTGT